TAGCAGAAGAAGAATATATATTGTACAAAACTAGTATTAAAAACTGAATAAAATGGCAATATCTAAAAATCAACAAATATCCAAAAGAAATTTCCTTAAGAATACAAAACAAGCAAAATTACCCAGCACAATAAATTGAAAAATTGAGATATTGTGTACTTGTTTAAAAATAACTTTAGAAAGGCTAATGAAACCTTTAAAATATCCGTCAACATATAAAAACTAGTACGAAATTCTAACTATTATGGCTTTTTCTTCTTGTTCTTCTTCTTCTTCGTCTTCTGGTATTGTAGCGAGTCTCCTCGTCTTCATTACGAACCCACTACAACAAAAATTAAAATTAACTCAAACTTTCTTAATGCATATTCAAATTCATTATTAAAAACGATAGAAACCAACATTACAAAATTTGATTTAGATACACAATATTTAAATATTAAGCGAAAAACTGTTTCACTAATAGCAAAAAGAACTGCAGATTATTGACTTCTGAATTTAAACAAACGGCCTAAAGACATATTTAAACATAATTTTTTCCATCCCTGAGACGCAATTAATGTTGATGTGAAAACATATTCTTTAATAAAGACTTAGTACTTTGTAAGTTTTAGTAAGGGTAATTATTTTAATTTAAACATTGTAACGTAACGGTATTACGAGGATGGTCTGAGAAATTCTCGGCCTCAGTCATAAAAAATGAATCTATCACCTTGATTTTTTTTTTCCCAAATAGGCACATGTATTATAAGCTTACATTAACAATTGCTAAAGATTCTGTCAAAAACTTTTCTTCAAATCCATTTTTGAAAGCTGCGTGTTATGGACATTCCGCAAAATGGAGAAAATTGAGTATCGGTCTGTAATTAGTTTTATTGTTAAAGATGGTTAACACCGACCGAAATTCATACAAAGTTTTTAAAGGTGTATGGGGACTCTTCACCTTCATTTTCAACCATTAAGAAATGGGCTGCCGAATTTAAGCGTAGCCGTAGAAGCACTGAAGGTGACCCACGTGAGGGACGATCAAAAACTGCGACAACATCGGAAATCGTTCGAAAAGTACATCATATGGTATTATCTGTTCGACCAGTAAAGTTCGTGAAATAGCTGAGACTATTGGTATCTCGAAAGAACGGGTAGGTCACATTTTGCACCAAGAGCTGGATATTAAAAAGCTCTGTGCAAGATGAGTGCCGCGTTTTTTAACGGTGGATCAAAAACGGATTCGCGTGCAAATTTTGGAACGCTGTTTAGATCGTTTTAAAGCAAATACAGTTGATTTTGTGCGAAGATTTGTAACCATGGATGAAACTTGGGTTCACCATTTTACCCCAGAATCAAAACAACAATCTAAACATTGGACAGAAGCTGGTTATCCAGCGCCAAAGAAGGCAAAGTCCGTTGCATAGGCCGGAAAGGTTATGGCATTGGTTTTTTGGGACGCTAAAGGAATTTTACTTATTGATTATCTGGAGTAAGGTAAAACTTAACGCGGGAATATTATGCTAATCTACTAGATAGATTAGATAAAAAAATCGAGAAAAAAGGCCCGGTTTACAGAAAAAAAAAATCATTTTTCATCAAGACAATCCGCCTGTGCACAAAAATGTTATTGCAATGGGAAAATTGAGAGATTTAAAGTACGATTTGTTGGAACATGCGCCTTATTCACCAGATTTGGCTTTCTCGGACTTCCATCTATTCCTAGAACTCAAAAAATTCCTAGGTGGACAGCGTTTGGGGTCTAATTTTGAAGCTATCGAAGCTGTAGAGGCTTATTTTGAAGACTTTTCAAAAAACCATTGTAGGGAGGGTATAATCGCATCGGAGCATCGGTAGTTCAAATGTAGTAGACTCCAGAGAGATTATGTACAAAATTAAAAACAGTTTCAAATTTATAAATGTGGTCTTTCATTGACAGGCCGCGAATTTCTCAGACCATCCTCGTATAACGTTACCCTCGCCTACGAATTTTAAAGATATTAGATTCGTAAAACACGTACACGAATTTAAAATGTTAACTTAACAAATAGAAAAATATTTTTTTTTAAGATGATTTTAAAATATGATCTGCTGATCGAATTTAATTAGTATCTTCAATAATAAAATAATAATATTATACAACTTTTTTTGCGAAAATCTGGATACCTAGGGTAAAAAAATCAAAGTGGTTTCATAAACCACAAGAATAGAAGTATATTATTATATTACAAATAAGTAGGTAATTATATTTAGATGTTGACAGACGTCTTCAACATCCTTCGATAATAATTAGTTGCTTTTCGATTTGTCATTGTTGAATATCATATTTTGATTATATGGTTTAATTTTTCATTTTATGATTTTTTTTTCTTTAATATGTTAAAATATCACCGCAACTCTACTAGATATCAATGCCATTCCAGTCAAAAAACAAAATCACACCTACATGTTTTCTAGGGGTTCTTGTACATATTGCAAAATAGCAGCTTGAAGATAATTAGTCCTAATATATGTATATCCATTTTTTTGGATGTGAAGCGAATTCCTCTGGTGAAAAAAACACGTATAAATTAATGCTAGAGACATTGCTGACCCCTCATAAACTCTTTCCCACTCCAGACTCATACTCCTCCCGACTCCAGACTTGTCATTGCGTTTTAACCACATTTTCCTTGGTCTTCCTCTTCTCTTCCGAGTTTCATCGCCTGAGACTAATATCACTTTTGCTGTTTTATCGTCTGATAACCGTGCGAGTTGTCCTACCCACTTTACTCTCTACCTTATAATTTCTGCGACGATGTCGAACAGTCCATACAAATCAGTTAATCTTTGATTCCTCTCTTTTATTCCCTTATGAACTCCTCTCACTATTTTGTTACCCATAGTTTTAAACTTCTTTCCACATTCTTGTTCACAAAACACATTTAATTAAATCAGCTTATCATAAGTAAGTACACACTTTTGCAAATCGTACGACTTTATTTAATCGAATAACTTGCCTCAGAGATTTATAAAACTGCTGCATTTTCCAGTTTTCTTCTTCACTTTCCATTTTTCTTTATTTTTGTTCAAATTCTCTCTCTTTCTCCCTCTCTCTCTCACTCTCTCTCTTAATGTCATTCCTAAAATTAAATTAAATAAGTTGGGAGACAGCGAGTCACATTATCTAAGTTTACTAACCAATTATGTTGTAATATGCAGTCTACCCACACTTTATATTTAGATCCTGTAACGTCATCCATGTCAATCTTATGAGCTTTTCAGGTATCATCACCGTTCTCATTGTACAGCACAGCTTATGTTTTAGAAATAGCACAAGCTAGTTTAAATTCTGTGAAAAGCATAATTATGAAAACCTAAATTTTAACCGTAATTATTAATATGGTGTAGTTTACGGTTTGCATTAGTTTTTCTTAGAAAATTGGCTACTAATCCATTTTCTCCTGCTTTTTCCTTTAGCGTCTTGACAAAAAAAATTCTGTATCAATAAAAAGCTTCTCTATTTTGATCTATTTCTTAGTTGTTGTCCCCACTTTTTGACATACTTATTTAACCTCTGTTAATGCCACAAATTTGATTTGATTTGATTTTTCTTGTGGTAGTAGATCTTCAGGTGACCAAGTGCAATCAATCTGCCTTATCAGTTCTAGTGTTTTGCTACTTTCTAGGCTTACCAGCGCCTTAATTCTTATTGTAGCGAGGTCCAAGTAATAATGACTAATTTCATGTTTTTGAAAAAAAAAGATTTAAAAATGAGTCAATGAGTTAATTTTGTTGCTTAAATAAAAAATTTCTGAGAACACATGCGTTATTATATAAAAATAAAATTTGCAAAATCAATTTTTGTAATTTACCTAACAAGCTAGCAAGAAAAGTTCTGTTAAAATAACTTCAGTAATTTTTTTGCTTTTTTATATCCTATGTAGGGACTAAATGTTACTACTTTTTGCAGATGCTTTGAATTCACATTTAAAACCACTATCCGATTTGCTCTATAATCTCCAAGTCTTTCAAAGAAACAGAAAGAAACATCGTTCCATTCAACCTATCTTAGGCCATAATACTTCTATATTTTGTGCCTACCTCATTTCATTGTTTCGATGTCTGACACATAAGCTTCGCAATAAGTAGAGATTTGTACACAATATTAGCGAGATTTTTTGCTTCCCTGCTATCTGCAGCCCCCTGATGCACTCGTAATGAGCCAGAAATTAGTTTAACTACGCAGCTATAATTTTGCGCCCGTGAGCTTAGAACGCTCGATTATCTTCACAATTAGCTTGAAAACCAAGTTAATGGCAACATTCTTAAATTTTGACTTTACAAAAAGGATCAATTTTTCATAAAAAATTATACTACTTAGTTTTTTAAACATGTAAACACCCAAATTGTAATAAATAAAAACAAAATCAGTGATGATTTTAATTATGACGGTAACATGGAATGCCTTTGCCCTAATAAAATATTCACAGATACCTTAGATGCCCAAAATTGGAATTTTGTAGAACGTCCTTTTAAAAAACATTATTATTTCAGTTTAAAATGTTTCAACGAACTGCCATGTAGGCCTCGGTTACGGCTCGGCTTCAAACTTCAGATCGACCGGAAAGTTCTTCTTTATGGCCTTGTTACACAAGTAACTATTCTATAGTACTATACGAACATTTTTAGGTTTTATTTTTTTCATTGATTTTTGTAATTATCTAATTTTCATGCCTAAATTTTTTATATATTACATTATAATATCTGGTTGACCGAGCTTCGCTCGGCTCGTTTGATAGTATTACGAGCCCTAACAACTAAATATTGGGACACCAAAAAATTTTTATAAAAAAATCACCAAACTTTTTAACAAAAATGTAATTTATTTTAGATAATTAAAATTTTAAAATTAATTCGTTTTGCAAAACTGTTAATGTTTACAGCACAACAAAAACTGATTTCTAACTCAAACAGTGACATAAAACTCTAAAACAACGTAACATTTTGTGACACATAAATATTGGGACACAGCAAATTCAGTAACTGGTCATATCTCCTTTTGCCTTAATAACTGCAGGAATTCTTGCCATCATACTTTCAACTAATTTTCTACAATACACAGGAGTAGTTACCGTATCCTACACTCGCTAAATTTCCCGTTGAAGATTGACAATCGCTTGTGATGGATGATTTCCTAAATATTTTTTTATTTCACGCCATACCGTCTCTACTAGATTAGGATTTGGGCTATTCGATGATCAGGGCAAACATTTATATTATTATTCTTTGTAATAAGTGTTGTAGGTGTGTAACTTGAAGCATCATCCTGTTGAGAAATATAAATATCAACAGGATAGACTGCTTCAGTAGTTGTTAATATTTTTTTACAAAGTCTCTTGATATTTGTTTGAATTTGTAATTTCCCTTCCATGAAGGTTGTTAACTGGTCTTTAAATTCCGTTAATAGACATGCACCCCCAAACCATTTTTCCGCTTGCAAACTTGACTCTTTGTTTGAGATAATCCATATTAAAATTCCTTTTTTATTTCAATAACTCTTTTTCGACTATTATCTCACCCAGACATCAAATTTGGACTCAGCGTTATATATTACTTTTTTCCAATTTTTATTTTGGTCATATTAACCGATTTTTCTTGTGGGCAGTTTTTAATTGTGGTTTTACTTTAGACTAAAATAATATAAATAAATAATAAAGTCCATCAAAGATAGCTTTATTTAAGATTTACAATGTAAAAACCAAGGCCTGATTTGTGTATGCATTCGTGACAATATTGTCTTGAAAAATTTAGTTGGTTATCGCTATTCCAGCAAGTAGTAATTTCTCTTGAAGTAGTCCGTCGTCCACTTTTATAAATTTTCATCAGTTATCGCTGATCACGCGGCTTCACAAGTGGTGGCCTACCGGGAATTTTACCTTTTATTCCGATGGTACCTCTGTCTGTGTAATATTTTACGACATTTACCATCGACGACTATAAGCTATTTGGAACAAATCTTCACTTTTTCTTAGCGATTTTCCCTTGAGGTACTAAGAAATTATTATTTTCAGAACTTTTACTAAAACTAGCCCGCCGCTAACTATTTTTTTCTAAATAAAACCACTACTAGCATGAAATGCTACGATCCCTATAATAATGGCAGCATTTACCAGCTACTACGTTTGTATTTCGATGGTATACTTAGCAAATTTTCTCGGGTGTCCCAACATTTAAATGTCAGCAAAAATTGCACATTTTTTAGTTAGGTGACAATTTTTGCGCTCTAAGAAAATTTATTAATTTGCAAAATACCTCACTCTCTGCCAAAATAGATGCCCATGCAAAATTTACATTTAGTCCGAACGAATTGAATGATATCAAAAATATCTACCGGAGTTTTTTGAGAAATTGTCTGTGTCCCAATATTTAGTTGTTAGGGCTCGTAGTTCAGGTTAGCATATATAAATATATGTGACTATTATGCAATCCTTACTATATTTCGTACGTGAACTCGGTCAAAAATAAAATTCAAGAATGTATATCAGTCAACACTTTATTTTATGTAAATACCTTTATAACTTAACCTAATACCTCCTTCCACACTATGTTGCGGGTATGTCGAGGATTTTCTTTTGGGAGGAGAATTTTTAATGTACTTGGTCGTTTCACTCGAGAAAATGCCACATACAGCATGCCATGCATAAAAACTGGTGATTTTAAGTCCACTCCAACAAACTCAAAAGTTTGGCCCTGAGCTTTATGTACTGTCATGGCAAATGCAGGTCTTACTGGGAATTGGTGTCGCTGCATGGTACATCCGAGTTGACCTTTTGATGAGTCCAACGTAATTCTAGGTATATGTACTTCTTTGCCAGATTGTTCACCAGTAACGATTTTTGCCTTTATTATGTTATTACACAGGCTTGTCACAATAAGCCTGGTTCCGTTGCATAGACCTTCTGATGCATCCAAATTACGCAGCAGCATTATTAATGCATTTTTTTTCAGTTTTAATTCGTGTGGTGGCAAGTCTGAAATGTTGACTGAATTAAGGAATTCCGTTGTGAATTCGAGTGCTCTTTCCGGTTGATCTTTTATCGAGTCATGACTATGGTAGATTTTGTACTCTCCGGGAAGTTTGGCAATGATCTTATCGTTAATTTTATCAACATCTTTATTGAGTGGCGCGAGTATTGCTCTGTCTTTCATTCCCTCATAATTTTCACTGGCGAAGCAACTTCCAAACACTTCATCAATTAGATTGGTATTTGAAATGATATCTTGTGATAATTCAATTTCTTCCATTGTATTTAATGGTAATTCGCCGTTGCCTAACCTTAGGAGATATTCAGCAAATTGCCGTTGCTCTATATCAACGCGCATGTTTTCTTCTAGCGTAAACGTCTTGAAACGCGACCATAAAGAACATCTTTTAATAGAAAGATCTAATAATTCACTTTTATTTGCTCGCGGCTGTACAGGCAGACATTGCCGAAAATCTCCCCCTAGTACTATTACTTTTCCACCGAAGGGAAGATCCGGGTTTCCAATGGATCTTAACAGTTGGTCAATATTTTGCAATCCATATTTTGGAAGCATCGGGGCTTCATCCATCAGAAAAATATCTACTTCTGCTAATTTTCTGGCTTTCGATGATCCTGATTTAATACTCGACGCTGAATCTGATGTTAGTGGTACTTTCAATCCAAAAGTTCTATGAGAAGTTCGACCATTAGGCAGCAATATGGAAGCAATACCTGTAAATGCCATGCATTTTACATTGCATCGTTTTCCAGTGAGCATGTAGTAGAGAGTTTTATAGATGAAAGTCTTTCCAGTGCCCCCTGGACCATCAATGAAAAAGCATTTTGCTGTTTCAATATTTGCATCATTCACAGCTTGAAGAATGGCATCGACGATTTCTATTTGTTTTCCTCTAAGCAGTTGATACATTTGCTCTCCTAGGACCGCTGATTCATCTGTGTTCAGAGTAGCCTCATTGTTTTCCATATCGTAACCCTCAATGTCCTCAAAGCCAAAAGTTTGTACCCAGTATTTGAAATTTCTCCCTTCTGTTGCTTCGGTGTTCAATTTATGGGCAATAATTCTGTAGGCGCGCCTAACTGCATTTTCTACAGACTGTCCATTTCGTCGGGCTGCGTATATGAAATCTTCTGCCAAATGTTCTTTAAATGTTTCCCATAGTCGCTTTGGGTTTTCGGGAGATCCGTAAATTAATATTTGTATAAAAAGGCTTCGCATTGCTACAGGCATTTTAGATACTGCAGATTCTCGCAAACCTTCTATCCATTGTTGATCGTCATAGGTTAAACCCCGCGCTAAGCAGGCTTGCTTATATGTCTCATACTGAGTGTCATTCACAGTTCGAAGGTCTTCGAAACTTGTTGCGTCTTTTACGTGATACAGTAACAATCGCAAATGGTAGAGTTCCGGTTGGGCAATGTATTTCACATTGTGAATCCTACCAATGACTCGCAATTGACGACGTCTTTGCACCCATTCACTTGACCTTCCGATCCATCGGAAATGTTCAGGCATCTGCCAATAATAATGATACTCCATATTCTCCAAATGTTCATTTAACTGATTAAGTCCTCTCTGTTGTTTAATTTTTTTATTATGTCTAAAATATGCTTCTAAAGTGGATCCTCTTTGACCAATATCGGCCAGATCTTCTTGGGCTTGATCTAAGTTTGCGATTCGATATTGACCTGGTAAATGTATGTTCAATCTTTGAACACTATGACTTTTTTTTTGAATTTCAAAAGCAAATAATCGCCAACATGCTTCTGGTGGCGTGACAGAGCGTCCTTCAATGTATGTGTTTGCCTCATTATAAATTAGCGTTCTTTGTTCTTCTACAACTTTAATCGATGCGCAGTCGTGTCCTTTATAAATGTATTTGTAAAGATATTTTACAGCCAAAATACTCCCTACATACTCAACGTTAATATGGCAGTTAAATTTTTTCAATAAATATGCGTTGTAGGGAACTACATGGCGATTATCCCTTGTTATACGATGACCATTGATATCTTTACGATAAACGGCTTGTTCATGTAAAAACTGGGGACTTTGAGGGTCCAACTGTGGATTGTAGCGGCGTCGGTAATTCGGTTTACCATCATCGACCAAAGTTGTTACTTCCTGAAACGATTTAGGGAAGTCAAAGCGACACTTTGTTGTTCCATTTTTATTAGCCATGCATGTCGCATTAGGATTATGCTCTCCACATGGGTTGTGAATCATCCATTTCAGTACCAGTTGTCTTAACTCTAAGTCGTAACTTCCTGGTATTTCGGATGAAATCAAGTCATCAAGCTCTTCTGGTCGATGAATCTTATCATTAGAGGACATAATCACCAGTAAATGCATATGTGGTAACCCTCTTTTCTGAAATTCTATAGTATATACAAAAGCCGATACCTTTCCAAAGATCTGTTTTTTGTCCAAATCTTCTATTATTTGGTCGAATTTTAACTTAGCAACTCGGGCCACGATATCAGGACGATTCTGTGGAAGCTGCTCTAAGGTTGTCCCGTCTTCTAAATCTATTCGCAATGCCTGTTTAATTTCTGGCCAGTTAGGATTCGATGTCATGGTGATAAAGAAATCAGGCGATCCAAGCTGTCGAACAATAGCCATTGCATCTTCAAAATGCTCTGTGTAATATCTTGTCGAGCCAGGAAAGGAGGATGGTAAAATTATCTTTTCACCAATTATGGCATTTTTTTTTTCGGCTAGTTCATTAATGAAACGAGCTACTCCCGTATATTGTTCTACGAGGATCTTGTTTTGATTGCATTTTATCCATTGAATGCGGTCACGCTCAACGCGAATGTAAGTATCCACTAAATACTGTTGAAATAATCTGCCACCGAAATGAAGTGCATTAAATGGAATTTGTCGTACATCAGGTTCATGTGTTGATGGTACTTCCAGTAAGAATTTAATTAACTCAGGCCGAAACGAAAGTCTGTATTGTGCCAACTCAAGCCGAGTTAAATTACGGCGGCTAGCATATGGCTCTTGCAGTTGCAAGTCTGTACTATAACCATCCGTGCCTGCCGGGTAAAATAATGGATAAGTAAATGGCTCTACACGTTTATCAATATTCTTTAAATTGACAATGTTTTTATTACGCTGATGAACAATCATTTCGTTATCAGGAAAGCTCTGATCAGCATTAAGAGTAAATACTGCACATACCTCATTACAGGCGGGTATGTTAAACCTTCTATGATCAGCCTGCTCTGGCAGCCTAAATAAAAGCTTAACGTGTGGTGGCGGTATTCCTTGGGCAAAAGTTAGCCGATTAACTTCTTCCTCTACCTCTCGCATCATTATATACCCCTGTACATAACCATTTTGCGCTCGAATAATATATTCCAATAACTCCATCAGAGAGGTACTGATTCCAGAATTAAGCGGATGATGAACGCGTTCGCTAACAGCATTATCAGGATCTAAAAAGTATAGTTGGCCGTACTGTGGCCGCTCAAAGACACCTTGAATATTCTGCGTCGGATGGGCCGTCATATTCATTTTATGATATACCTGTCCGCAAACAACAAAACTATAAATGCCATGGCTATGTATTGTTCTGTCATCTTCCACATTGAAAGATGCTAGCGCAAAAGATGCATTTATGTTTCTTATTCTTCTGTGGAATTCTTCCGAATTCAGGTGACGGTTCAGAAAGAGACGTGCTAATTCATTTGAAAATTGTGGTGGTTCCATTACAATTCGTCCATGCAAACAACAGTCGCCAAAAGAATTAATATTTACACGATTAGAAACACGTTCCTCAGGAAAATGCAATGCACCACAATGGATACACAAAATTTCAAATGGTCCTAAGGTATAATATGAGACATCCGCACTAACGGCGCATTTATATGTTGGTAAGTGATTCATTTCTAAATCTCTGCGGCGTCTTGCCTCTCGACGCCTTTGTTCTTCTAGGCGGTGCTCTCGTTGTTCGTTAGTCTCATAGGCAACGCGTTGAGATGCACGCTGTCGCAGATCTTCTAGTCGTTGTTCACGTTGTTCGGCACTTTCACAGGCCACTCGTTGAGATGCACGATGTCGTAGATCTTGCAAACGTTCCTCTCGTTGTTCAACACTTTCACAGGCCACCCGTTGTGACGCATGCTGACGTAAATTTTCTAACCGTTCTTCTTTCTTCTTACTACCTTCAGCCGCTCGTTGTAACTGACTGCGTTCTCGTAAAACCCTTAAATCATGGGATCTTTCCTCACTTATAATCTTGGATATATTTTGTAGACATATTACTTTAGCAGCACGCGTGGGTCGAGCTGATGGCAGCGATTCTTGAACAGAAACCTGGCTAGACTCATTTTCATCGAGGTTTTCTTGATGGTCACGTCGATTTTGATTAAGATTTTCTTGAAATGAGTCTTGGCTACTCGAAGTTCGCTCGAAGTTAAACGTTTTTCGGGGACGTCCACTATGCATTTTGAAATGCCGGCACTAACTAAAAATTCACATTAAAAAAGAAATTCCGTTTAAACACTGATGAGTGACATTAAACAATAGAAAACTGGAATTATTGTTTGACATTTATTACAATGTCATTTACTACCCAATCGCTGTTTTCCAATCACCCTAGTTCTCTATCTCTTTCTCGTTCTCTTTTTCTTCCTAGTTCTCTCTCTATCTCTCTCTCCCACTCCGCCTTTTCCACTCCCTCCCACTCTCCCTCTTCCTTTCTCCCCCACTCCACCTCTTCCTCTCCCTCCCACTCCCCCTGTTCCTCTCTCTCCTTCTCCCTCTTTAAATACTAACAATTCTTTAAAATTTTTAATTAGCATCTAATCCATTAAAAATTAACTTTGGTACATAATTTAATCTTCGGATGTGTGAGCGTGTATAATGTATAATATCTGGTTGACCGAGTTTCACTCGGCTCGTTTGGTAGTATTAGATCAGATTAGGACAGATAAATATGCGTATAGTATGCATTTTGAAGTACACGCGCTACTTAAAAATACACATTAAAAAAGAAATTCCATAAGCAGTCTTTGTTTTAAACACTGATAAGTGACATGTAGAGATTAAAGAACAGAAAACTGGAATTATTGTTTGACATCTCATTTGTTACCCAAGTTTTCTCTCTGTCGTTCTTTTTTTTTCATAGTTCTCTCTCTCGACTCTAGAAAAAGGTCACAACCACATTCTTACTGCCAGAAAGAAGAGTTTCGCCTCTGGTGTGGTTAACATATTGAGTTAACGTGCTCTTTTGTGTTATTCCTAATTTCTCAATCTCAACCCTGCTCCCGAAGATGCCATTTACGAAAGTGTGCGAAACGTTGAGCCCAAAAACTCAAATAACACGGTCCCATCCCGGAAAACGATCACATGTTGACACTGACCGTGGAACCTCTGAAATGAATGCTTGACAAAATAATCTCAATTCAACACACTTTCGTGTGCCTTTTATCCGCTCACTGTTTAGTTTTTGGTAAATTTTCTCACCTCAGGAGGTGAATTTCAACGTCCTCTATACAGTGGAGTATGTTTCGGTACGTACAATTGAAGATAAAAAGGTACGTCAAACGTACTGTCAGACTGTCACCCAAACTTCTCATATAAAACAATCTCGTGTTCGTGTAGTGTCATCTGATGTTGCCTAGCAACAAATATAATTCACTGCCTGAAAATTGCTGAAAATGCATGAAGCTGTAATTTTCAGAAGTTAAAACTATGATCAATCGATTTCTTGACCCAAAAAACCCCTAACCTGTAAATTTCATCGAAATCGTTAGAGCCGTTTTCGAGAAACCCATTACATATATATATACAAACTTTGCTCGTTTAATAGTATTAGATTTGGTTGCCTATCTAGTGCGCATGAACCGTAAATAGTGCTAGACATAATCTGAATTCGACGCACATTTGTGTGCCTTTTATCCGGTCACTGTTGAGTTTTCCGTATATTTTCTCACCTCAGCAGGTCAATTTTAACGTCCTCTTATGCAGTGGTGTATGTTTCGGTACGTACAGTTGAAGATAAAAAGTTACGTCAAACGTACTGTCACCGAGACTTCTCTAAAACAATCTCGTTTAGTGTCACCCGATGTTACCTAGCAACGAATATAATTCACCGCCTGAAAATTGCTGAAAATGTATGAAGCTGTAATTTTCAGAAGTTAAAACTATGATCAATCGATTTTTTGACCCAAAAAACCCCTAACCTGTAAATTTCATCGAAATCGTTAGAGCCGTTTTCGAGAAACCCATTACATATATATATACAAACTTTGCTCGTTTAATAGTATTAGATTTTGGCACGAATAAACTTTACTTTACTTATTAAATACAAATTACGACGAGATACTTATATAAAATACTAAAAACGTTACTAAAATTATAATCCTCAAATTTACATTGCCGAAACCTTTTTTCTAACTTTTATTTCTTTTAAAGATTATTTTGTTTATCTCTAAGTACACTCACCGGCAAAAAAAGCGAATCACCCAAAGTTTGTATTCAAAATGGTTTCTTTTTTAAACGTTTGGCTATAGTCAATAGCAGTTTTGAAAAAATCACACAAAATATACTAACACTAGGTTTTTGGTTCTTTTTTGTACATGATATGAACCTCAAATCTGAAGATGATAAGTTTTTTCCAACAATGAGATTCGCAGTTGTGACGTTTAGAGGGCATTAACAGACGGTTTGTCATTGTGATTTGATGAAAACTGTGTTTTTGTCAATTAACATGAGTATTGTGGCCATTAATGCAGCACGAGCAATTGCTCTTATTCAGGATGGTTGAAGTTAACGGTACGTTGCCAATACGTTAGGGGTATCACAAGTGAGCATTCACAGAACTGTACGACGGTTTAATGAGACTGGATCATACAGCCGAAGACCTGATTCGGGTCGTCCAAAGAAAACATCGGCTCAGGATGACCGTTTTTTAAAGCTGACCGAGTTCCGTAATAGGGATACGACCGCAGTTGAGGCCAGAAATCAACTTGAAGGAACACGAGGAGTTAGTGTAAGTGAAAGAACTGTAAGGAAAAGGTTAACTGCAGCTGAATTGAGGGCCCGTAGACCTGCAAGTGGCCCAGAACTTCTCAAACGACACAGAGTAGCCCGACTTGCATTTGTGCCAGAAAACGTTAACTCGGATCTTGCCCAATGGGGCCAAGTACTCTTTACAGATGAGTCGCGTTTTTGTCTACGTTCTCCTGACGGCCGCCAAAGAGTATGGCGAAGAAGAGGCGAAAGGTAGGCTCAGTGCAATATTGTTTGCAGACTAAGTTTTCATGGAGGTTCAGTGATGGTCTGGGCAGGAATTTCTGCCGAGGCTCGCACGGAACTTGTAGTGGTGGATAGAGGCACAATGAATGCTGATCGATATGTAGCAAATATTCTTCAAGAGCATGTCGTACCTTTTGCTCCTTTTATTGGCGATAATTTTATTCTAATGCATGATAATGCTAGACCACATATCGCTAAAGTTGTACAAACCTACCTCGACGAATTCGGGATTTCACGTATGGAATGACCAGCACGCAGTTCCGACCTGAATCCAATTGAGCATGTGTGGGACATGTTAGGTAGACGTATCAGAGCACGTGTGCTGGCCGTACAACACATAAGAGATCTTGCAAATGCGCTAGTTGAAGAATTTTACCAATTAGCCCAGGCTGACATTAGACACCTCATAGAAGGCATAGGAAGACGTATGGCAACCGCAATGCAAGCTAGAGGCGGCAACAGTCGTTAATAATGATATGTTAAGTAGTCTTTTGTTGGTTTAATGTAATGGATTTTCTGGTATTTTTTAATAAACTCGTAATTGTTGCAACTTCAGCGAAGGTCCCGTTACCTTCTCATCTCCTTTGTCCTAGATAAACTAATTTGTCTTATAAATGTGACGCACACCAGAATTTATTGAAGATTTCTACAAAAATATTAATGATTCGATTTTTTTGCCGGTGAGTGTATATATAAAACATATTAAGTACGGATTACGTCTTTGTAAACGCTATGGCTTTTAGCCTAGAGAGAATTTTTTCAGTACGATTTTAAATTTCTGAATAACCTTCCAGAAAATTCTAGCACCTCTAAAAATTGAAATAACACGGTAGAGAAATTTTGATCAAAAACGAGAAAAGAAACAGCACTTAAACTTCAAAATGCGAAATATGTTAAAGGAAGAATTCACTTGTTGAAAAATCAAGATAAACATTTAAATAAAAAAACAATAAACTAAACCAAATTAGACCGAAAACGGATAATTTATCTTGTTTCAGAAAAACATAGCTTCTCCTGAAATAAATCATCTTCAACTAAAATAAATAATTTTAAAATAAAGTATTATCCCGGCGCCTCCACCATTTTTACATTAAATTATATTTTTTGAAATTAACTTTCCAGGACAACAATTTAACGGGAAAGTTGCTCAAGATCATGAATCTATGCTTTCGTCATTCTTCCGCAAGTTATATAGGAGTTTATTTTTATAAAAAAAATAAAATTGCTGCAACTATAGAAGTTAGTTACATAACACGTCGAGATCTCACATAACTAGTGCAATGTTGACAAAACAATTTCCTTATGTTTAGTAGACGTGCAAAGTGAGTGAAACAGAATAATTTACGTATTCAAAAATTCTATAATCGAAGAGTAAACGTCTCATCCGATTTTCCCATAAATCCCCAAACAACCCAATAGAGACTACAACGCGCCAACAAAATGCATAATCATTGATCTGTTGCCCGAAATCCCAGAGCTTTGGGACCGCGAACTCGTTTTTTTGCCTTTAAAAAAGAAAACTATTAAAATCTCTCCTTAGTCATGAGAAATAGACTAAAAAACTGAGCTCTATAAAATAATATTTTCTGTGTTTTCCGTATTTATTGGAAAAAATAATGTTTAACGTATTCCTAATAAAAATATATGCAAAATAGTACTACCAATTCACCACAACTTCGACTTAATTTATACAAACAACCTTTAAATCTTTGTTTCAAAAATGATAAAATATAAGTAAATTACTCCCTACTTATTGTTTAGATTTTTTTACATTAAGAACTTTATCTGAATTGATCCGAACTAATAAATTAATCACTCATTATATTACTCGTTGTAGTCAAATTAAAGATCACTAAAATGAAATAATGTGTAAAGAAACCCAGATGTCGTTTATATATAGGAAACACGTTATACAGTCGAGTAACTTATTAATTGAATACCGAAAACTAAGGGCAAATTGTTTCACATACTTTCCCTGAAATCAAATCAACAATACAACTTCGCCTTCAATTCGTATTACATTTCAAACAATAAAGTCTGAATGATTATTCCCATTCACATTCTAACGCTTTTTGTTTTAATTCGGACGAGTTACTCAAGTTAGTTAAGCATCTACTTGTTAAATTAGTTACGTTATCTGACATTCGCTGCCAGCACTACTGTAGGGGTTGATCTATGGCTAGACA